GCACAACAACCCCAAAAGGAAAACTGCTGCCACCGGCACCAGCATTGCTACCATCCCCCGCACCCCCTCCTCCTCCTACTCCTTCTCCTCTTACCCCCCATGCTGATTCCCCTATTCCTACACCCCCTCCTTCTACCACACTTAGACTTCCTCTGAGTCCACCCAGTTGTTCCGCTTCTTCTCCTCCTCCTCCTCCTCCTCCTCCTCCTCCTCCTCCTCCTCCTCCTCCTCCTCCTCCTCCTCCTCCTCCTCCTCCTCCTCCTCCTCCTCCTCCTGCTCCTCCCGATGCTGATTCTCCCACTCTTCTCGCGCTGCTAGCCCCATGCAGGTAACCAATGCCCGATTGGAACAGTGGAAGGGTGGTTGTTCTGAGGTTGTGGTCACCACCCGCAAAGCCTGAGGCAGCAGCAAGGCCAGCAGCAACAGCAGCAGCATGAGCAGCAAGATCAGGAGCAGCAGCAGCAGCGAGAGCAGCGCCACTTGCACCAGTAACACCGAAATCACGAGAACTGGCACCAGCAGCAACCGCAGCAGCAGCAGCAGCAGCAGCAGCAGCAGCAGCAGCAGCAGGTGTGAAGGGAGGGACTCCTTGCAAGTCAATCGCAGCAGCAGAAGCAGAAGCAGAAGCAGCAGCAGCAAGGGATGCATAAGAAGAAGCAGCAGGGTTGGGCGGCAAGGGAAGGCCTAGAGAGAGCGAAGGGAGAGAAGAGGCAAATGACGGCGGGGCAGATTGGAGGACTGGCCGCGTGGGAGAAGGGGAGAATGGGGGAGAGAAGAGAGGTGCCGGGGGGGGCGGGGCAGAAAAAGTGTTGGAATCTGGGAAGATTGGGAGAGAGGGGCGTGGGGAGAGGGGTGCTGGCAGTGGGGGTGGGGGCGGGTAGTGTGAGGAGAGAGGGGATTGGTGTGGGGGTGGGGGAGGGAAGAGCGAGGAGAGAGGGGATTGGCGTGGAAGTGGGGGTGGGAGGAGTGAGGAAAGAGGGGATTGATGCCGGGCGGTGGGCGGGAAGAGCGAAGGAAAGTGGTGTGAGTGTGGGGTTGGGAGGAGAGGAGAGAGATGGACCTGGTTGGACCAGCCTGCATGGGAGAGTGCATGAGGGAAGGATGGCGGAACGGAGCTCCCCTCAAAAGGGGGTGCTCGTGTTGCTGGTGGTGCTAATGGCTGGGTGGATGGAGGGAAGTCTGAGGGCGGGTGGAGTTTGCTTGGCAGTGCTCCTGCTCTCTCCTCCTCCCGCTGTTGCTCCCGCTGCTGCTGCTCCCGCTGCTGCTGCTCCCGCTGCTGCTGCTGCTGCTGCTGCTGCTGCTGCTGCTGCTGCTGCTGCTGCTGCTGCTGCTGCTGCTGCTGCTGCTGCTGCTGCTGCTGCTGCTGCTGCTGCTGCTGCTGCTGCTGCTGCTGCTGTTGCACGCTCCACCTGAGGTGCTCCAGGAACGGAGACTCAATGAACTGAGCCGCACCCAGTCGTGCATCGCGCGCACTCGAGTCAAAGTGTTGCAGAAATTGCTCCAAGCTGGGAGTCGCCTCGGACCTCCTTTCTGCAGCTGTACCAGTAGCTGTGCCGTCACCAGAAGCAGCAGCAGCAGCTGCACGCGGGACTGCATTCGGGATGTAAGAACAAGCAGCAGCAGCAGCAGCAGCAGCAGCAGCAGCAGCAGCAGCAGCAGCAGCAGCAGCAGCAGCAGCGGCGGCAGCAGCAGCAGCAGAACCAGGAGAGAAACCTTCAGATGCCCTGGCAGTGCCAGTGCCTCTCCATCCTGCTACTGGCGTTGCTCCTCCTGCTACTGGCGTTGCTCCTCCTGCTACTGGCGTTGCTCCTCCTGCTACTGGCGTTGCTCCTCCTGCTACTGGCGTTGCTCCTCCTGCTACTGGCGTTGCTCCTCCTGCTACTGGCGTTGCTCCTCCTGCTACTGGCGTTGCTCCTCCTGCTACTGGCGTTGCTCCTCCTGCTACTGGCGTTGCTCCTCCTGCCACCAACCCCCTCCCCTTCTCCACACCAGGCCCCTGCCCTGCCACTAACGCCCTCTCTCCTTCCTTTATATTTCCTTTCCCTGCCACGAAACTCCCCCCCAGAGTCAGGGCGAGACCTTCGTCGTCAGCCAATTCCATGGCGCCACGTGTCCTACTCACAACCCTGTTCAGATGCGCTACCTGCTTCGCAAGCTGGTGGGTTGCCGCCCCATCCCCATCAAAGCCGCACGTCTCCCCTTTAACCCCCTCGCCTTCCTCCCCCCCACCAGGGTCCCACCGTTGCAACTCACCCCCATCACCTCCCCACCTCTCCACCTTTGCCCCTTTGTCTCCATCAAAGCCGCACCTCTCAGCCTTTCCCCTATCACCCCGTGACTCCTCTCCCAGTTGCGCTCTCAATCTCTCTCCCACTACTTCTCTTGGCCCCACCCTCAAACCCCCTCCCTCTTCCACTCCCTCTCGCTTTTCCCGCCCCTCTGCCTCATGCCAACGAAACAGCTTCAGGGCTGCGCCGCCCTCTCTGCCTTGCCCCTGCAA